GCGAAAAAAGAAGTCGAAAATATAGAATAACAATTTTTCGTTCGAGGCTCTGTTTTCGAGAAAATCGACTTTGAATTTTCGCTCGGTACGCGCGCACTTTATCGCGTCTCGTTATGACGGATCGTTGTCTCGATGGAAAAATTAAAAAAAAATTTTTTATTCTATATTTTCGACTTCTTTTTTCGCGTAGAATCACCCCCTTTCCGCTTTTACTACCAGTTACCAATCACCCTGTATAAAAAGGGTTATTTAAAGGGGTAGAATATTATGAGAAAATTGTTGCAAACAATTCTGCAGATTGAGTGTTAGAAAGTAAACAGCAAATGGCTAAAAAATAAGTTTAACGTAAGATTTATTAACACTGAATTGGAATAACGAAAGATAATAAACAGAGAATAAAGAAAAGAATGGAACTTACTGGCCATTTGGCTCGCTGTCGGATAAAGAGAAAAAACTTGTTGGAATGTGTTCACGCTCTTTATTCTTTACAAAGATTTATCACCGCTGCTGATGCTTGCTTCCGTATTGAATGAATTTTCTAATAAAAAACGACAAAATTGAACACGAGTCTTAGATTAGGTTCAGGTTTAGTTGTAGTATAAAGTAAAACATATTTACAACACTTTTTTTAATAATTCCTAAATTGATTTTCTAAATATCGATACTGACACCTGCTGGACCATTAAACGAGTTTCCAGATAGAAATGACAAAATATAACACGAGTTTTAGGTTAGGTTTAGGTTTAGGTTCAGTAAGGTTAGAATCACTCGGAATTGTTCGCAATATCTTCTTCCGTGACATTTTATCTTTTTAAATATCTACACTGTCACTTGATCACACACTAAACGAATTTTCAAATAAAAATGAACAAGTTATATAGTTAGTTTTAGGTTAGCTTTGAGTTTAGTTATAATGTATGGAATTGAAGGTACATAAAGTTGCGTACGACGATTTTTTAAATAATATTGTACCCTTTGAATAGCCACGTTCGATGTACCGTGGTCTAAGAAAAAATCGAAATTGTACAGTATTAACCGATTTCACTTAATTATTCTCGTGCGATTTTAAATTCCAAGCATAAAAATGCGTTATTCTCTTTTTCTATCGTTAACGAAGAATGGCACGTCTATCGACTTCATATCGGATATAAAATCGATTTCCAAGGTAGAAGCGAGGATTGGCTGCACTCTTTTATCGAAAAATAAAAGTTCTACGACTTGTCATCCAACGTCTCGAAACGATCTGAATAAAAATCGACGAGTATAGGTTACCAACTTTCCTGTCTCTTCTTTTTCTATTTTCCTTCAAGCTACAGTGGCGTGCAAAAATTTCCAGATAAATTTTTCGCTTTATATTCGAAGAGCGACATCTAATATAATTTTAAGTAATATTGGGTATAAGAGTGTGATAAGTAAAAGAATACATATACTACACGTGATACATACACATACAATACACGAACGTTATATTGTCTAGCTATACAGGGTGGTCCATAAGTCACTTGCTCAGTTTAAAATCTTATAACCTCTTCTCTATCGTATACCTGTAAATTTTTGTTTCAGATTCGTGAAGTCTGTTTCTTTGAAAATTTGTAACAGGAATATTTATAACGGGGCAACGAATAAAAATAAGCGAATTTTATTTTCGAAATCAATGTTCCATCTTTCCAACGCTGTTCCAACGAAAAATGTCACGCTTTTTCACCCAGATAAATATATTAATGGAAAAGATACCAAGTTTTGGGTCATGGATAACTCAAAAAATTGTTCATCAATTGCTGTTTATTATTACGTCGCAAAGAGTAATCGGACCTTATTTTTTTTTTCAGAATTTTCACTCGCTGCTCCATTGTGGATTTTTTCCATTATAAATTTCCAAGAAACCAAACTTTGCAAATCTGGGACAAAAATTTAGAAAGATTTAAAAAGATACTGAGGAAGATTTAAGAAGAAAAATAAAGTTATACAACTTTTAAATGGAAAAATGTCTCACGAGCCTGTATCAGATGTATAATATCCCTCAAAATTCTTTATGAAAATTTAACTGGCCGGAAACTTTTCCACGCCACTGTATTTCCAACATTTTACAAATTTTCTATCGTGAATTTAACGTCGTTTTTGTACGATGTTTTTAATAAACCTTCCTTGTCCTCGCAGGCTCCTTAAATCAGCGTCCTAATTCCAGCTCGTCAGAAGTTCGTTAATTAGGGCCCTCCCCCTCCCTCTAATTGGACAGGCGTTAATCAAGGATTGTTAATTAGCCTCTTAATAATCAGGTCTTCCCTGGCTGGCGTTTAATTAAGGCCTCGTTAATTCGAATTTTCGTTTGCGTCAGGTTAATCGGTATTCGTTAATCAGGTTTCTGATAACAATTGAAATTTCAAGTGGAATACGGACGCGATTCCATTCCAACTTCGTCAATTTCGCAATCGATTATCGATCGCGATCTCTCGTATTAAAATGGACATACAAATGAGAAAGTACGAGATGCTGTTAAAAAGAAACCGGGCTGGTTTTATAAATACTTATTAATTATTCAACGAATATTTTATAAATATTATCAAAGTCCCAATCTAAACTTGATTACCGTCTCCTTCAAAATAATCCTTTTCTGCGTTGGTATAGTGATCAGATTGACTCTCACATGTGTCAAATAATTTTCGAAAATCATTTTGCCCATCTACGTTAACAGTCTGTTCTTCAGAGAGCAGCGCTTACCACACAAATTAAAGCGCGGAGCTTAAATTTCAATTTTATTTCAAATTCAATTCAATTTCAATTTCAAATAAGAACAGGTCGTAAGGGGCTAAATCTGCCAAACCTACGAACAAATACCTTGTAGATTCAGTCCCTTGTTTCTATTTCTCAAAATGAAATTGGAACTCAAGGCACGACATTTCGACATTTTATAAACTCTTATAACAAACAAACATTTTACAAGCTTTTATAAACTCAGACCGAATTTTATTAAACACTTTTTATACTTGGAACACCTTTAAAGTTCGTTCCGATTTTTAAGGAATTTGATCGACATAAGGAATCATATTGAAAAGCTTTTCGACGAAAAATCTGAGAGGTTCTGGAAGGATGGAACGTTCGAGTGGCGTGAAAGATGGAGAAAGGTTGAGGAACAAAATGACACCTATATATATAATTCAATAGATGCATATCGAATCGAAATGTAAATCGGAACGAACTTACCCAGCGACCAATAGCACCTCGTACACTTGACAAATTTCCAAACTCGATTTTCCTGAAGACGAAGCGCCATATGAAAAGATTTTGTATTATATTTTCTTCTTATTTTTTCACAAGGAATCACCTAGTGCCCGCCTGTACACGTCGTTGTCGTTGAAGGTTGTGTAATTATTTGGCTATTCGTTAGGGAGGAAGTGGAGGACCGGAAGTGAAAGGTGGAGGAAGTCCTCGAACTTGTAGTAATCGTCGTATCGTTTATTTCATTGTAACTACATTAATTTCTCTTATACATAGCATCGTTTCTCTGCTCTCTTCCTCTTTCATTTTTTTTTCTTTTTTTTTTCTTTTTCTTTTTGGTTTGGTTTCGATTTAATCATTACGTACAACGGTGTGTAACATTTATAATATCTTTATCTTTTATTTATTTTTATTCTTCGTAACCTAACAACGTTTAACGCGACACACAATTTCACAGAATTTGTTCTCCCTTTCTCTCTCGCATGTTTTATTCTCATAGTACATTTTTTCACGCACGCATACACACGGTTTCATTCTCACCCTTGCTCTTTATATACTCTTCTTCCCTCTTTCGTCTTCTTTTCTTTTTTTTCTTTTTGCTCCGTTAACATCCCTTCCTCTTCTACACCTTTTCTTTTTTTGGGCGATTTTTTGTCTTTTTGTCTTGTTCCTTAATTTTCTAACTTTCGCTGTTTCAGCCTGTGCTCCTCTTTTTCTTTACCTCGAATTCTCGTCGACGAAAAGCGAAAGCGCGAGCACTCCGTGCAAGTGCATTGTTACGTACATACATACATATATATATATATATAATATATATTCATATTATATATAACATATATCGTTTTATATAATATATATAATATATAAAAATCAGTTATATATATAGAATATGTCTGCATATGGTGTTATATCATTATATATATTATATACAGACATGCACGATTCTGTCCACTATGATAGTCGTTAATTAGCGTACTAAAACAAAGTGAAGTTTCCTTCCTTTTTCCCTCATCTCTCTGGAAAACTATGCTGTTCTCCTCTTTCTATCCTGACACGCGACTAAAGCATATATATGGAGAAGAGAGGTTATCTTCGTTGAGCACATTTTATTTTATTTTATTATTTTATTTTATATTATTTTATTTTATTTCCTCGTTTGCTTACACCTCGAAATGCAGTGGAACATGGGAACCATAGAAGACATTCGAAAAAACAGTTAAAGGAGGATAAAAGAAAATTCGAAGAGAATCCGAAGAACTCTACGAAGATATATCTCAAAAAAACCTTTCCTTAAATTCTCCGATAAAAAGACGATGGTTCTTTGTTTAAAGGGACTATTAAAGGCGTCAGAATTATTGAGCACACAACGATTGGCATGAAAGTCTCTAAAACGTGTTGGCGCGCTGGTCTTGTCTTCCTTTGATTCAGCGAAGAGATTAACGCTTCTTCCCATCCCTTGCATTATTTCCTTACCATCCCCTGCATTATTCGCGTTGCACGTGTCCGAAGCTATCGGATGCAAGAGAATCTAATTTCCTTCAGCATGATCGATAAATGAATCTACGCGAACGACTCACCATGCTGGATACAGTTACGATTAAACTATTATACTGCCGTGTTAATTCAAACAGGCGTATCTGGTCGAGGGCTGGTTTCCAGGAAAATCACTTTTATCATTAAACAAGCAATCGTCGATTTCACATACGTCCAAAATATAAAACATTCTTACGTGTATCTTCGCTTTCCTTGTTTCATATGCATATAAATAAATTATTCCCGTTCTATCTGGCAGCAATAACTTCGCTTAAACGAAAGTCGCAGATGCTCCCTTTTCGCTTTACGCGGCGGTACACGTCAAATCGAACGAGACGTGTCACATTCTGCACGTTTATTATCGAACAATTTGTCGTATTTTTCATAAGAGTGGCGGATATTCCATGGAAAAATAAAGCAGGGATCGTTGTTTGTTGGATCGGAATCCGGGTGTTGGCCCACTTAGGTCGAGTTTGCCCCGCGGAAACGATCAAAGGGGTGGCTTTGAAGCGTGCTCGGCGGTAAGCCAGGTGTGTGCCTGTATGCACTCGTATTCATCTGTTCTTTTCACCGTTTCCATCTTCGCCTCAAAGTATACCGAGCCTCGCGGCTTGCTGCGCCTTTCTCCGCGTTTCTTTTTTTCCCTTTTCTCCTTCTTTTTCACTTAGGTGCGCGCTGACGGGGATGAAAAAAGAAGGAAACAAAAGAGCGTGAAATTTCCTCTTCCGCGGGCGGAATAATTTAGGCGGCTCTCGACTTGCCACGGACGCCGATACGTCAGCCCCTATTTTTAACTTGTGTCCGAGAAACATTCCGACGAAACACTTCTACCACCTTCAATCGCAACTTTCCCTTTCGCTCGCGGTCCAAATTTCTCCTTTGTACGCTGCATCAGTCTCTTTAGCTGCTATCGACTTTCTTCTTTAATCTCATTCATTTTATCTATCGTCAGTAAGGATGCGGGGATTCTTGGTAATTTTAAACGAAACTTTTTGTCAATTTATCAACAATGAAACGCTCGACCAACGTTAGAATCCGACGTAATTTGAATTTTCATGTCCGGAATATTACATTCTTCTTTTTAATAATGAGATTATCGAGCGTCGATCGTACAATATTTTGTACAGACGTTTCCGATCAACTACGTCGATGTTTCCAAAGCGCGAATTTTTAGAAACATTGTCAGACGGATTTCTATGAATTCACGAAGAATTGTGAGATGCAAAAATACATAGAAAATATACAGTGGCTACTGTACGTAAAATACAGTACAAATTACGTACTAGTTAATTATTTTCGATTACAATAAATTCCCCCTTCATTTAGTATCGTTTAATGATACCTTCGAATCGTCATAAAAACGTAACACTATAGAAACGAAACGTTACAAGCCAGAGGTAAAAACGTGTCATTGAAAAATAAGAATTAACGAAATAACGCGTTCTTTAAATTATGACAATTTTTATATTGCAACGTTAAATGGTTGAACAAATCTTTGCATAGATTCTACTTATTTATAAAAAAACGAACTTACCCTCGTAGGAATTTAAACTGTAAAAACATCCGCCGTCTGATCATCGATCTTTGCATAGTTCAACTGACTTTTCGTCTAAACAATCCGCAGGAGACCTAAGAAAATCTCCGAG